GCGCAAAGCTTAATGAGAGCACAAGTTTCATGCTCAGTAGTTGAATATTGCAGCTATTTGTGAATGAATTGTTCTCGTAAGGAGATATTTATCATGACTCTAGCTAAGAAATGGGCCCCATATGATTTCTAAACTCATTAAATGATGCTCCCATTAAGCTTTGTACGCTTAGAGTTTAAGGTTTTTCAAAGGACCACCTTATTTGAATAGGCTGTAAATGCTGAGGGTCACAAACATATAACGCACACTTTGAGTTAATTGATAAAACTCGTCGCCAATCCATGTTTGCCCTAAAGTTTAGCAGTCAGATGGGCGATCTAGACAACCTCGTTCCCAGGCGATCTAGAAAGCTGAAAGTGGGCAAGATGCAATCAAGGAAAAAATCATTCGGACACTTCGCATATATAGTATATTCCTTCCATAAATGCCTTTTCTTAATTAACCAATGTTTACAAAGTCTCATTATTTGTTATCAAAAATAATTCGTTTTGTTTAGATTGTTCCAGGTCTGTTCCGAAGTGTCGCTCCGTCATTTTCCGGACTGTTGTTCCGACTTATCCCGTGCTGTCCCACCATGTTTCGGAGCTGTTCGTAGCTATTCCAAGGATACAAAAGTTCGTATAAGGTTCGTGAAGGCTCTTTATTGTCCGGTATCATTCATATATGCATACGGCAAATATCTGCATGGTTTTGCACAGGGTGTGAACTGGAAATCATTGGCCTTTTACTATTTAAATAGGTTTTAGAAATTTAATTATGGCTTATAGTACGTAATATCCGGTGTTGTATAAGTACGGACACTGTTGATATGAAAATAGGGCGTGTATATGCATGGTGCAAGTCTGCCTTTTTCAATCTTAATTTCATGGGCAAAAAGACTGATAGACGAAACGGTTTTATTGATTATGAATACAAAATGTAAAAAAATCAATGGAAAACACGAGACTACATACAAATTCCTCGTCTACTGTATATGCGTGTAGTTAACATGCAGTATGACGTATGACGACAAAATCGATTTAAAACGTACCTGAATATAACTTTAACGTCTTCAGAGTTCTTTACCAGCGTATTCGATTTGCTTATTTTATCACAAAAACTTAGGCATCACACGTGTACTTTAGGCTTACATCAATGTGTTTGTGCAACGACAAAATCACTTGTGTTAGGGCTTCTTGAACGAACTGACTTCTTTTGTAACCCACGTGCTCTTCCCTCTTGAGGCGGTGAGGTATGAGCATACAGGAAAGAGCCTGGGAACGAGGTTCGGAGTCAGGGTAGGGAAATCCCCTCTGGTTCAACATCTGAAACTATATACGTTTTATTTATTTATTTATTTATTTATTCAACTTCGCCAGGTAAAATTACACGAATGACATGCATACAATACAAATACAATGTTATAAAGGTGACGAGTGGTGGGGACACCTCAACAGTTAAAACCAATTACTGTGGGACCTGTTTTATACACATGTAAATATTATTTCCAAACATAACATCTATATATAGATATAATATATATATAGGTTATCATATAAGGGATGAGGTGATATCAGTTTTATCGCTCGAGGGATGATATCACAATTGTCCCGGATATCGTTTTTTGTCCCGCTAAATTTCGCGCCTTGTCAAAACAAAGATGGCCGACTCGAGGTTCGTGTTGGTTGATGTCGACAGTTTATCGAAAAAAAACAAGAACGATAATACAAAATGAAAGACTTTAAAAATTGTATATTATTTATATGAATGGTCTATTTATTTTTCTAAAATCATATTTGTTCAGTAAATGATGAATTGTTTTGAATTCTAAAATGATCCTATTTTTTCAAAACTGTTTACTTTTGGGTGTCAAACCCTGATAAAGGTACAAGTATATAATAAATAGGTTATCGTACTCGGGATTCGGTGATATCAGTTTTATCGCTCTCGGGACGATATCACAATTGTCCCTCGCTCGCTGCGCTCGCTCGTGACAAAAAACGATATCCGGGACAAAAAACGATATGCGGGACGATATCGTTTTTATGTCCCGCTGCTTCCTACCTGATAAAGGTACAAGTATGTGATAAATTATATATAGCACATACACTGGAGGTGGATAGTGCTTTTCATGCATTTTCGTTGGTTGGTCAGCTCTAGCCTGCGTTGCTGGCGGTTTTAAGAGGTTGGGCGTCTCAACCCCAACCCCTTAAAACCGTCAGCTATTTGTAAAAGTTGGATTTTTGGAACTATACATAGAAATAATAGTTAACAATTACTCACCGAAGTGGAGGTGAATAGTGCAAGCTAGATATTCTTGTACTATTCACCAAAACTGACGTGAATAATTGTTTTAACATATACCACAACAGAACAGAACAAAAATGAGCAAAAAACAACGAAAATATTTTGTATTTCAGCAGTAGCCTGCCTATAAACTATGAAGAATAATACATATTTATGCAGGTGACATTTTACAAAAATATATTGCACCGAATGAAAGAATCTCTCATAGTTTTATACTAAGGCCAAAAAAAAATATGTGGATTTTCGGTTTCCCGACCCTACCTAGCTTTTGGACGTCGAAATCCCGACCATAGATTAAGGAATGAATAGATGGCTCACTCCTTTGATGTTTTTGACGCTGCCGGCGCCCACGCATGTTCTTGCCAGAGTAATGGCGGCCTAGCAAGTAACTGTAGTAAAATGCATTGTAAAATTGACATCGGTGCTACTAAATTCTGTAGTTTTATAATTCTGATTTATCTTTCCATTAAACCCCCCAAAAGCGGAAAAATACAGGATTTAATAGCACGGATGTCAATTTTACAATGCATTTTACTACAGTTACTTGCTAGGCCGCCATTACTCTGGCAAGAACATGCGTGGGCGCCGGCAGCATCAAAAACATCAAAGGAGTGAGCCATCTATTCATTCCTTAATCTATGTCCCGACCCTAAACTTTTTTATTGGATCATGCTTGTAAGTGTTTCCACTTAGAGGGAAAAGTTTGTGGAAAATTGAAATTTGAGGCGATATTAGGGAAATTTATCTTTGGATGTGGAAGCACTGACTACGTCCGGTTGTTCGGAAAATTAAAAAAAAAGTTTAAAAAAAAAGTTGAAACCGACCTACCCTACCTAAGTTTTTATAAGAAGAAACCGGAAACCCACATATTTTTTTTTGGCCTAAAATTATATTAGTTTCATTATCATGATCATATGTTATCAGAGCCAAACAACTATAGCTATTAACTACTAAAATATCTCACTATATTTACAAATAGACTGAAGAGTACTAATATAAATTAATATTAGTTATATATAATTACGCTGTATATACAGGGTAAAAAACTACACAGTTGGAAAAAGTTCACTAAAGTCAGATGCGCGCGACATTTGCGAAAACTTTTGAGTAAGCCTATGTACTTTAACGTTCTCTGGTCCATCTAGCACTAAATGTCTAAAATTATTTAAAATGCTAGCGTTTTTAGAGTAGGAAAGCTGTTACTAA